AGCCCAGCTGGGAGGGGGGACAGGCAGGGGAAGCGCTCGGTGGGGAGCAGAGCCTGCCTGCCTGAGCCCCCTCTGAGGGCTTCCCACTGCTTCTTCCCCGCTGCTGTCCTGCTGGGAGGAGCCCCGTGCCCATCCTCGATGGGATGCTGTGCCACAAAGCTCCTTCCCACCCTGTGCCACGCTCCTCGCCCTCCTTTGGCTTCCAACCGTGCCCCTGTCCCAGCCTTCCCACAGGAGGATTTTCCTAACGCCCGCCAAGGGATTTGTAGGGTATAAAGCGCTCACTCCGTGCCATCGGTGCCCGGGAGCTGCTGGCATCCACCTTGGCACACACCCAGAGCCATCCTGGAGAAACACGGGCAAAAATCTCACCCTGGCACTGCTGAGCCCAGCCAGGGCAGCCCCTGGCCCCGAGCATCGCCCCTCGGGGTGCCGTGGGAGGGAGGCAGCGCCCGGGCAGCCAGAGCAGGGCACATCCAAAGAAGGAAAAGAGTTGGAGGGATGCAGGGCTCCCTGGCCAGCCAGCCCATACTGTAAAAGGAGCGGGAGCAGGGAGTGCACAGCTCTGGCTCCAGCAGTTTTAAGATGGCTGTGAAGCTGAGAGCAGGAGGAGAAGGAGGAGAAGGAAGAGGAGGAGGAGGAGGAGGGCATTAACCCTGCCAGCACTGTGCTGCAGCCAGGAGCACTGCAGGGAGATGAATGGCAGCTTTCCAGAGGCTCCACTTAGCAGTCCAAGGATTGGGTACCACTCAACTCCCAGTAAAATCCAGCTGGTGATGCTTTCAGGCCTGGGAGATGCTGACCTCAGACAGGCTGTGGGAAGGAGGAGGAGAAAGAGAAGGAGAAGAAGGAGGCAGATGACAAATAAAGGAGGTGACCCACCACAGGACAGGACATTCAGCAGGGCTTTAAAGACCCCTTGAATATGGGCTCCCTGAAAAGATGCCCTTCCACTCGTGCTGCCCCTGGAGGCTCAGCACACCAGAGGGGCAGGAAAGGGGCACCCCTGCACCCCTCTGGGTACCTGCATTGCCATCCCTTGCTGGCTGCTCAGCAGAGAGCAGCAGAGCCAAGTGACTGCTCAGCTTCCCTCCTCTTGTCCCTGTGGACACTCACGTGAATATTCACGTTTTTCCTGCTTAATGTTTTCCTTTAAAAACATCGGGCTTGGCCTTCCTGGTGATTTTCTGCAGGATTCATCAGAGCTGCGGCGACTGGAGGAGCAAAGGTACCGGGCACTTAACAACAACTTCCCTTCTCCAAAGTTTTAATTGGTCATTGACGTCAAGTGATTATTGAGAATTATTAATTAAGAAAGCATTTAAGAGCCTGGCTTTTGTTGAGGTTTTGCCATTACAATTAGTTTATCAGCCAACAGGAGAAACATCAGCCTTTGCAGTCACTTGGAGTACAGCGAAGTGCCCATAATTAATTTCCCTTTCCGCAGCAAGTGCTTTGCTCTGACCTGCCTTGGGGACTCGCCTTTCTCCAGGTGTGCCAACCACAACACCCTGGAAACAGCCAGCCACGGGGACATCAGGATGGGAACACCGTGTCCCCTCCAGCCCCTCACAGGCAGCTAGGCAGGGATAGCAGCTCTTTTCGGGAAAGCATCCTGGCCACACGCCCTGCTCCTGGGGAGGAGGCCACCCTGCCTTTGAAAGAGATTTTCCTTTTATCTCCTTCCTGCCCTGGGGAAGCAGCTGCCTCGCAGGTGCTTGGCACTGAGAGGATGTGTTTTGGCAGCCCAACGCTTTCCAGGAGCTCCCTCAAGCCCCTCACGCACCGGCAGCACCCACCGCAGACAGCAGCAGGATGCTGGCAGGGTGAGCTGAGGCTGGAGAGGCAGGAGAACCCCATGGGATGCCTCCAGGAAAGGGGTTTGAGCACTGCCTGATCCTGCCTCAGCCTGTGCACAACCCCAGGCTGCTCCCTCCGGCAGCAATTGCTGCCTCTCCACCTCTGCTGGGGCACGAGCAGCTCCTCCTTCCCTGGGGGATCTGGGGTGCTGACGGGCTGGCAGGCTGCAGAGTGGGTGCCAGCATAGTCCAGCCCTTCCAGAGCAGGCTGCAGGGATGCAGGGATGCAGGGATGCAGGGATGCAGGGATGCAGGGATGCAGGGATGCAGGGATGCAGGGATGCAGGATGCAGCCCAGCCCTGTGCTCCCAGCTGGATGCTGCTGCTGCATTCCCTCGCAGCACCCCAAGTGCAGCACCAGGAGGGACCAGCAGCCCCTGCTCAGCAACTGGGTCAGCTAAATATAAACAGAGCAGCCCCAGAACCAGGCACCTTCCTGCCTTGCATCATTGACACCCTAAAAACCACGGCCTGGGGACGGGGGCTGTGGCCTCACCACAGGCTCTGCTTGGTGGCCATTGCTCCAAGGCTCCCACCTGCTCACCCAGAGCAAGCCACCAAGGACAAGGGGACCAGCTGGGACAGATGCCTGCAGGATGGATGTTCCCAGGAGGCCACGGCTGCAAGCTGTGTGTGCACTCCTCCACACAGAGCAGGCCCTCAGGAGGGAGATTCCCACTTCCATTTATCCAAACCAGCCGGATCAGCTCCCAGGCACCAAGCAGCTCAAACCCCCTCATTAGGGCTGGGCAGATGACTCCCAGCCCAAGGAGTGCAGGCATGCACCCACAGGTCTGGCTCCTAGGGTGATGTCCCACAGCCCCAGTGCTGCACATCCCTGGGTAAGAACATTTTGTAGGACTCTGCAGCAGGACGGGTTAGTTCCAGTATCCCCAGTTTGTTGCACGCCAGCTGGGCAGTGCCACCCCCAGTTCAGCCTGCCCTGTAGTTTGTGGGTACAGTAAATCTGGTGCTGGAGCCCAGGAGAGGCAGGTTTGGGGTGCTTTGGGCTGCTCCCTTCACAGCCCTTTTGGCACCGTGTGGGAGAAGAGGGATGGTGCTCATCCTGCACCCCACACACAGCCCTTTGCAGCCTGCAGGTCTCCAGTTGTCTGCAGCTGAACATCACCCAGCCCGGAGGGTTGGTTATTAGGGAAAAACACTTTAATGAGGCAGCTCATTAAAGGCAGGAACAGATTAACCCAGGAACCTGAGGAACTCAGGGACTGCCGAGTTCAAGAATAGGAGAAATAGGCCTTTCCCTGGCAACGGTGGGAGATGCTGCCTCAAAGCAGTGGGATGAGCCCTTGAATCCTCAAAGCCCTTTCAAAGCCCTGCACCCTCCCAGGAGCTGCATGAGCTCTGGAGATGAAAGATGCTGGGAAGGGTGGACCACAGCTTGAAACCTATGAAAACACCCACTGAAATCCGAGCGGAAAATGCTCCATCCCCAATAGTCAACTTCACGCACTGCCTCCTCCACTGATCAAGCAAAATCCCAGCGAGGACTTCCAGCAGGGATGCTCCAGGGAAAAAGCCTTTGGCAAGACACAACCCTGCTGCACAGGAGCGACGTGGGAGGAGAGGAAAAGGCAAGCAGAGTTCAGAGTTACGGTCACCACAAAAAAATGAGCCCTGGAAAAAAAAAAAAATCCAGCTCCATTTCCCACTACGGGGAAAGGTTTCCACAGGCAGAGGAAAGGTAGTGAGCAGTGGCAGCCCAGGAGAGTGGGGCACCTGGGGATGCCGGGGTTTCCTCAAAGCCACTCCAGCAGCAGGGTGACGAGTCAGGCCCGTGCCATGGCTGCTCTGAATGAAGGTGGGAGAGGTGCAGCTGAAGATAACTTTGTGACCAGGTACTATTAATAGCGGCACTATTGGGCTTTTGCTTTGTGCTTCCTGCGAGGCTCTGCGGGATGGAGGAGAGCCTGTATCAGGCCCTGCCACAGCTCGGGGAAGGGCTCCATGTGCATCCCCGAGGAATGGGGACAAGCAGCGGTGGCCGAGGCTGCTCACCCGCCACCGGCGCGGCACCGGCCGGGCGCTCCGAGTGAGGATGCTGGCGAGGCTGCTGCCATGCCGGTTTCCATGGCGACTTCAGCACTTGGCGCGAGATGGAGATGACGGGATCAGCCAGCGGAGTCACTGAGCGGAGCTGGCGTCCTCCGTCTGCCGTGGCCGGCGGCACAGCCCTGCCAGAGCGAGCGGCTGGCACGGGGCGCGGACCCGGCAGCCTCGGGGCATCTGGGTCCCCCTCGCCTCGCAGGGTGTGTGTGACTGCCAGTTGTCCTGGTGATTCAGAGCCTGCACATCCCATCGGCCCCTGCCTGGCACCTCTGGGAAAGCTCTGTCCGGGTCCTGACCCCAGCCCTGTGCTGGCCACCCAGCACCCACCAGGTCTGTGCCCCAGGCTCTCCCCCCGCACTGCATTTCCATTCCTAGTGGGGCTGTCTCCCCGGCAGCAGGACATCACATCCCAGTTTGTGGCACTGGGACTCGCTGGCACAGCCTGGCAGGGTGGTACCCAGCTACTCTCTGCAGCTGAAGGAGATGCTGCATGCCAGGGCTGAGCTGGCACCGGGACAGCCCTGATCCTCACTGGCCCTTGGCCCCGCAGAGGCTTTCCCTGGCTTACAGGTAATCTAAGATCAAGTGCTCCAGCCAGCCGTGCCTGGTCAGACACACAGGGACACCGCGGAGCACCGGGGAACCGAACACCTGCAGCATGTGACTCCCCAGCTGGCTCGGCCTCCCCAGCCCCAAAAAGCACTCCCTGGGGACCCCAACCCTTGCCAAGCTGCCACCTGTGGCCGTGGCATTCCCTGGCTGCTGGCAGGGAGCGCACGGGGCCGGGGCGGTGGGCAGGGAGCCGGGACCCCCGGCACCCCCTCCCGCCGGCGCGCAGGATCCTCGCCGCGCACCCTTTTATTCCAGCAGTGCAATTAGCCTTGCTGACCCCTGAAATCCTCAGCCTCTCTAAGCAGCCATGCATTAAATCCCGGATCCAAGAGTGGAAATAGACTTTGTAAAAGGCTTATGGCCCTATTTATTACATTTTACGCATGACGGAGCCGGACAGCGCGGCAGCGGCGCTGCCTCCACGCCGAGGCAGCCGGACACACGGACGGGCAGGGGCTGCAGCAGAGCCTCGGCAGGTGTCTGCTCCCGGGCAGGCCTGCGCTGCCAGCTGAGCGCTCCTGCAGACGCAGGCCGGCAGGGATATCGATCTAGATGAAAGCCAACACCGTTGCCGGGGCCGGGTAACCGTATCTGCCGCACATTTGTATTCCTCGGAGCGGGGCGGGAGGGCTGCAGCCATCTGCCAGGGAGCTGGGGGATCCTGGGCACACTGCGAGCCCTCCGTGTGGAGCTCCGCTGTGCCCTCTCCCCTTCCTCTGCACGGCCTTCTCCGTTCCACCTGTACCCTGCTAGGGCCCAGCAACACAGACCTGAGCAGGGCATCGCCCAAACAGGACCTGCCCGCTCCTGCTGTGCAAAGGGAGCCGAGGGGACATCGCTCCGCGGCTCGCAAGGTTGTCCAAGGGCACCGTGTGAAGCCAGCGCGCAGGTGTTCACTGACACATCCCTGGGGTCCCACGGCTCGGCCAGGTGGCTCCTGCCCCGGGGGGATGGCAGAGGAGCCAGCACAGCTCTGAGCTGGGCACAGTGAGGGGCAGGGATGGGGGATGAGGTGTGCAGGGAGGCAGAGCAGCTGTGTGTAAAGGAAGCAACACCAAAAGCGCAGGGGCAGTGCTCCAACAGCTGAGGGACCCTCTGCTTTCCTGCAGAACACACAAGGCAGCTCCTGCGTGTCTCCAAATCCCACGGAGCCCCTGCAGCAGCACCGGGCTGGGGAGCTGCTCCTGTGTCAGCGCTGCAAAGCAGGCAGGAGCAGAGGGAAACACAAGGGTGTCCTCTCCACACTCTTAAAAACGAGCCAGCTGCAGAGACTCCTGCAGCACGTGTCCCCAAGTCCCTGGGACACCAGCACACACAGGCAAACTGCTGCTCCCCACTTCCTTGGAAGGGACACACTGCACCCCCACCGCAGGGCAGTTGGAAGTGTTGCGAGACAAAAGCAAAGGTCACCCTGTGCACCTCTGAGCAGCTCGGTTTGTGTCAAAGCCTGGTGCAAGGTGCAAGCCTGGCTGGTGCCAGGGGGTGCACGAGAGCCCCCCCACACCACATGGTCAGACCCATCTCTCGTGCTCACTCCACAGGCAAAGAGCTCTGGTGTGTGTGAAGAAGCAGAAGAGGGTCCATGGGATGTGCACAGTGCCTGGATTCTGCCAACACCTGCATCTCGGACCAGCGCACAGGCCCTGCTGCCCAGGAGGGTGGGTGTCCCTGAACGCCCGTGAACATCCCTGGCAAAGGGAAACGGCACCTGTGGGGCGTCCCTGAGCTTGGCATTTCAAAGGCTTGGTCCCACATCTTTCCCTAAAGGTGCTCAAGGGCTTTGCTGCCTCAGGTGCACCTGTGGGCAGAAGGAGCCTTGTGCTTCCCTGCCTTTCCACCCAGCGCCACGCTGTGGGGGTGATTCCTCTCCAACAGCCCTGACTGATCACCCCGAGGTGCCCTTTGGCAGGGCTGGATGTGGAGGTTTCACCCCATAGCTCAGCTCTGCTTCAGTGCTTTGGAGCACAGATCCTCCCTCCAAGGGGGAGCAATGGCACAATAACAAACAGTGTGTTTGGGCATAGATGGACCCTGGCCTCAAAAGGCTTTTTTAGGAAAAACCCTGCAATCCACATCTCCACAGGTTTGTGCTTCCCAAGCCGGTCACTGCCATGAGCCCCCTGCTGACCTGGAACACTGCAAGCCCATCCTGATAATGGCAAGGGGAATAATCCCCCCAGGCCCCACTGAATGAGGTTTAAACTCCCCACAACACTCATGCACAAAGGTCCCATACCCGCCAGGGCACTCGAAGGCTAATCCTCCCCCCGGAGCAGCTGCTATATTTAGGTATCTAAATGAGACAGAGTGGCTCTTTCCAAAAAAGAGTTCGTTTGGGTTACATAAATACAGAGAGAAACTTGAAAGCTGTATTTCCAGGTCCTTGCACTGCCATAAGCGAGCGGCAGAGATGAGGACAGTCTCCCCCTGATAATCTGCCTTTCATGTATTTTCGACTCAGCTGGATGTGCAGGCGGGTTTCCAGCTCCTCTGGGCAGAAGGGCAGCAGGCACTGGTGGACACTGGGGTGGACACTGACAGGAGGCAGCCAGGGCAAGCAGACCCTCGGTTCTTCCCAGGGAAACCACTCTGCATCCCAGAGTCCTGGCAGAGGAATGGAGAAGCCAGCACTGCAGGCAGGCCAGGCAGCACCACTCAAAGCACAGGCAGGAGGAGTTAACAGGAGTAAATAAAGTGAGCAGCTCCAGCCCTTCCCATCCATGCTGTCCCAACTCTCTCTGTGACATCGCTTCCCCTCTCAGCTACCAACTTCCTTCCTGCTGCATCCACTTCCACATCCCGAAGCCTCTGATCCCATGGAGAATTCCCAAGACAATGTCCTGCACACTGAGCATGGCTCACCCCAAGCTCCCGGGGCTGCTCCCCAGTTCAGCTGGGGTGGGCTGGGGGTGGTCACCAGCAAAGCAGTGTTCTCCCCAGAGCTGGGTGACAACATGTACCCGTGAGGGTTTCTGGGGACATGCACCACGTGCTTTCATTTTCAAAATATATATAAATAGACATACTTATTCCTTCTTAAAAGGACACGGCAACAAGGGAAAAAAAAAAAAAAAAAAAAGCAGCTCAAATACCATCCAACCTTTCAGCCTGAGAAAACCACACAGTTCTCACAGGCTTGAGTTCTGTTACCTGGGAAATGGGTTCTAGCACTCGAAACCCGCATGCGCCAGCCTCCCTGTGGGGCCCACACAGAAACAGAAACTTCCTTTTTAAGAAAAAAATTGCGATTTTTTTTTTTTCTTTCCTTTTCATTATCAGCACGGTTTGGTCGTGACTGTGTGCAAGCCTGCTGAAAAGAAGAAACGATGCCGGTGGTTTCAATCTCCAGCTCTGCAGAGCTCTGGGGTTGATGCTGTTCGAGGGAAGGTTTGAAAATCCTCCTGTCGTTAAGATGTGGGAAGGTGGCCCTGAGCCACACACACCTGGCAAAGGGCAGAGCCGCAGGTCCCTGAGCCCAGGGCAAAGGGAAGCAGCTCAGCAGCCTCGGTTTGCAGGAAGCCAACAGGAATGCAAAGTCTAATTAGCTGGAAGCCAAGGGCCGTGGAAGTTGCAAACATTTGCAGCGAGGCAGGGAAAGCGCCAAGAAATCAGGACAGAGGACTAAAGCTGGACAAAGTTCAGCCCCGTGGCGCTGGTGCCCGGTGCGCAGGCTGTGCGTGGCAGGAGCGGGGACTGGCAGCTCGCCTGCAAGAACCGAGGTGCAGCCCCTGGCCAGCTCTGCCTGCCAGCCTCAATCCCACACCCGGCCAGGGGAGTATCGGATCTCTCCCTGCTCCCAGCCCAGGACTGCGGCCACCAGCGTCACCACACCGTGCTGGCACCATCCTGGCCTCTGCAGGGGAAAGAGAGCCAGAGCCTGGCCCTGCTTCATCCTTCCAGGAGAGCTGTGAGTGCCGTGTTTGTCACCTCCAGCTCCTCGCTGTCACCCCAGCACGTGCACAGCTGTGACCAGTGCTGGTCCCAGCTCCAAGCCAGCCCTGCCAGCCCTGCAAGGTGGTCATGGCAGCCTCCTCAGCACCCTGCAGCTACACATGCACTTTCCTCATGAAAAAATAATAACGCGCCTCCCTCCTACCTAGGAGCTCGCCTAAAAAAAAATGCAAGGAAGGCTGAGCAGAAAGGCTGCTCGGCAGCTCCCCTGCACCCCCCGGGCCAGCTGGGGCTGCTCCAGCCGCGGGTCACCTCGTGGCAGGACAGCCAGGTCCCCCAGCTGTCACTTGTGAAAGCCACATCCCCCCTTGCAGGGCTCGGGAGGGAGGAGAACAAACATGAGGAGAGGCAGCTGGGCTTCCTTCCATCCCCACAGCCCCGCCGGCTGGCCCGGCTCGGGCCCGCAGCCCCGGCTCGGCCTCGCCACAGGATTTCCTTGCTCTTGACGTCCATGAAAATTAGGAAATGAGGGTTCCTCGGGGAATAGGTGGGGAAGGCAGCTCTTGGCAGCGGGGACGAAAGGATGACACTTCCCACAGTGCTCCCCCGTAGTCCGGGGACAAACCGGGTCCCGCAGCCTCCCCAGACAAAGCGGGGAGCAGAAGTGACAGCAGCGTGAGCTTCTGCTCTCCGAGTGAAACTCAGCAAACTGAAACAGGAACCGAGGGGCCTGGCCCTGGCTCAGCAGAGGGGCTGCGGCCGCAGGGCGCACAGGAAGAATTCAGAAAATGCATCTCAGTAAAGATACGCTGCTGCCCTGCAACTGGAGTCCCTGCGAGAGCTTGAGGCGCCACCTCAGCACAAAAACATCCATATAAAGCATGTGCTGCTCATCCCAGGGGAGGGGAGAAGTGTCACATCAGCCCTGGATGGTCTCTCCAGCCTCTGTCCCCATCGCCAGGCTCCTCTTCAGCTGCTGGGTGGGCAGAGGGCCACGGGGACAGAGGGGACACGGATGGAATAAGCTCCTGGCACCCTTCAGCATCATCATGCTCCCCCAAGGAAGCTCCTGGTGCTGGGGTGCCCACCCAGCTCCCAGAGCCTGCTTTGCCCTGGGACAGTGGGATGTGAGATAAGGGAAGTATTTTCCCTAAGCCCCACATGGCTGCCCAGAGCCGGCAGAGATCAAAGGTTACTCTGGCTACTGGATGGGGCCCTGTCCCCAGGGCTGTCACAGCCTCTCCACATCCCCCACAGCAGATACCACACTTCCCCCGGGGGCTTTCTAGATCTTCCAGGGCCAAAGGAGATTTCCAGCTTTTACTTTTCCCTGTGTTAATTGAGAAGTGAACTGGTTTAATGCAGCAGCTCGGCTTTGGCTGTTGGCTCCACGTGGGGAAGTGCAGCGAGACGGGGCTGGATAAGGACAGGGCTGACAAGACCCTGAGCGCAGCCAGATCTGTGCAAAGTCCTTCGGCGTTTCTTGGACGCTCCCGTTATTGAAAGGAAAAAAAAACCAACAAAAAAAAAACAATAAAAAACCCCACAACCTCCATAAATAGATAAATAATAATCTGTGAGCCAGAGTTCAGGAAAAGTGCTGAAAAGTGCTGAAAAGCAGAACGGCTGAGCGATAAGGGAAGGGAAACACATTGGCTGGGCCATCACCCAGTGCCTACGGTGCCGGTGCCCCTGGAAGTAGGTCACTACCTCACCTGACCACCCGCCCCATTAACTTCAACCTTTAGTCCCTGGCTGCTTACTACAAGCACTCGAACATCCTTGTCCAGGCACCGGTGAGAAGGTGGCTCTGCAGGCAGCAGAGGGTGGTGGCACTCAAGGCTGCTGCCCACTCCTGAGGTGTGGGAAGGGGCTGTGCCGGGAGCTGGAGCCCCACACGGCCTGGAGCGTGGCGGTCACCGCGGCACGGCCGCGCTGGCGGCGGCTCCGGCG